CATGCTCACACAGCCTCACACACGCCCTCGCACACTCATGCACTTATACACATGCACGGTCGTGCTCGCAGCCTCGCACACGTCCTTACACACACATTCACACACAGCTGTGCACAAGGAACACAGGGCAGATGTTCTCAGAGGGACTCTGACACCTTTGAGATGAGGGTTTTTTAATCACTGGAAGGCTCTCTTGGGTCTAACAGGTACAGACAGTGTAACACCTGGTTTTCAAAACATTTTCCAAAGAAACAGAGAATTCCCACATACACAGGCACAGGTGACGTTATGAGGCCAGTGGAGGCCTTGCTTGGTGTTGCACTTTATGACTGAGCTGTGGTTTAAGGTGCACTCTGGAGTGTGGGCTGCAGGCGAGGGCTCGTCCTCCAGGAGCTGGTAGGAGGAGCTGGAGGCTGGGGCCGCCCTGCTCAGAGCTGCCTGCTTGGGCTTGTCTGAGGCGGTTCTGAGCTGCAGGTGTCTCCACCAACCTGCTGTGCTACACAGCTGGGTCTGGGGCAGCCTCACCACTGTGTGCCTTGATTTCCTCTTTTGTAAAACAGAGGCTGCCTCCAACCCTTGGAACAAACAGGGAAAAGCCATAGCGGGCAGGACGTGAGTGGAGCCTCGGGCTGCTCCTGGAGGGTGTGGCTCCGCCTGTGCGGCCTTCCACACGCATGGCTACTGTCACATTCATCGACATGGCCATGCTGACACCTTCTCTCACCTCTGCCCTGTGCAGTGCTTGTGTGCAGCCAGGAAGGCAGCAGCCGCAGGTGTGGAGGGCAAGGAGACCTCCTGTCGGGCTCCCTGGGTGTCCTGGTACACTGGGCGCTCCTTGCTGGACCGGAGAAAACAAATGGGTAAGGCCACATGTCTTCATTTATTCTACTTTGAAACCGTCTGATTTTTCTAAGCTATTTCAGTAGCTCATGCGTTGAATAAGTAGCCCTGGAAACACTGAGAACGAACTCTAGGCTTCACTGGAGAGATCTTGGGGCACAGCCGAACCCTCTTAGCAGAAGCTTCTACCCCACACTTGGCCTGGGCCTGTCCCTCATTCACTGTGGATGGGGCCCGGGGCAGAGGTGGTCTTCAGAGCTCTCCAGAGAGTTCCGAGGTGCAACCAAGGCCCAGCAGCACGCTGTTCTAGGAAGTTGAGTGGTTTACATAGAAAACAGGGTCAAGGCTTAACTTAGACACTTGTTCTTAAAGATGTGAATTTTCTTTAGGAGACAGCAGAATTCTAGGACTTTATGAATGCAAGCAGTTCCCACGCCTCTGAGCACCTCTGTTTCTCTTTTGTGAGCCCATCAGGGTGGCGGCTGCAGGTGCTAACTGTGGCAGACCTGGGCTTCTGCAGGGTGGGCAGGCCTGTCATCCAGCGGCCTCAACTGTCCTCATTGCTGGGATGGCAGAGTCTGGGACCAGCCCCCAAACTAGGTGTGCCCACATGAACTTGAGAGCTGAGGAGGTCGGGGTGTGGGCAGGGCAGGAGTCTTCCCGTTCGTTCTGCTGGGTTCACTGTGGTTCCCTCCGCCCCTCTCCCAGGAGATGGAGCCCTGGTAGCAGGAATCCATTCTCAGACCTCAGATGCCCTCCACACCTAGGCGCTGAGAGCACAGTCAAACAGGGCTGAGCAGCATGTGCCGCCTGGCTCTCCCCAGGAACACCTGGCGCGCCGCAGGCCCTGGCCCCGCCTCTGAGTACATGGACATTTCCCGTGTGCCTCCTGCCCGGGAGTAGTGGAGGGTTAATGGTGGTTTTCACTGTGATAAAGCTGCTTTCTCCTCAGAGGCATGTTAGACCTGAAATTGACAATTTGGGGTCCCAAGATTGACACAGGAGTCAAAACCAGAGCCCAGGTGGCTGTGGCCCCCGGACCACGACGCCCACTTCCCCACACCTCCCGCTGTCGCCCTCTCCGCAGGTCCAGCCCTCTCCTGGTGGCTGCATTCGGCGCCTGCTCTCTCACCAGGCAGTGCAACCACCAAGCCTTCCAGAAGCACGGTCGCTCCACCACCACCTCCGACATGATCGCCGAGGTGGGGGCCGCCTTCAGCAAGCTCTTTGAAACCTGAGCCCACGCAGACCAGAAGGAAGTAGGCACCTCGGACGGGGGAGAGTGTGTGTGTGATGGGAAAATCCGGAGCCACGTGTGTGCTGAAGGCGCACAGTGCTTGCCAGATTTTCAACTCGAGCATAAATTGGTTGCTGTTGAGAATTTAAGAATTTGGAATATTGCAGTTTTTGGCTAAACTTAATGCGTGGTTGGAGATGTTATGGTGACACTAAACAAAGTATTCCTGAACTCTCCTTAGCTCCTTGGTAGTAACTGAGGAGACAGAAATGAAGAAAATCACGTGAGAATGAAGAATTCTTTAGCAGCTCAACGGAATTTATTTCTCGATCTGCTCCCAAATCAGCGAAGTTTCTACTTGTTTCTCTCTCTGCCAACGCCCTTCATTTCTCTCCTGCTTCCCTCCCCTAGTCTTTCCTCCGGCAGGGAGCCGGGCATGGGTCCCCGGGTGTCTCCGAGTCCTGACTGCACTGACTGCGTCTCCTCTGACTGGCCCATCAGAGGGCTCTTCGTTCTCCAGCTCGTCGTCTTTTCAAGTGGTGATTAGCTTGGTGGTATCTGGCTGCTGGTATTTGGTTGGCTTATTGACATACTCCAGGGTAATCAGTGATCACTCTGTTTGGAAACCGTTTTGGAGGCACCATGGGAACAGAAGGAAACATGAGTGACGCTGACCCTTGAGTGGGTGGCCGGGGAGCTTAGACGCCTCCTCTCCCACGCTCTCCAGTGTCCATGTCTGCACAGAGGTCCCCATGACACCCACCAGCCCCAGCAGAGCAGACTTGACCGGGGACGGGCACCATGGAGGGCTGCAGCCTGGAGTCTGACATGGCCCCTAGTGCTGTCTCAGGAGAAGGCTCTGGAGGACTTGGGGCATGCTGGGCCTGGTGCAGCGATGGCACTGAGGAGACCCGGGGAAAGACAGTGTCGTGGTCATGTGTGCTTAGGAAGTAGCGCGGCCGTGTCCTCAGGGATGTTCGCGTCCAGTAAAGACACTAGTAACTGCACTTCAGCTAATACGCTTCATGGCAGTGTCGACCTCGGGTTAGCTTCTGTTGTCTGTATGGGTGGTTTTCCTGGGGCGGCCTGACATTGACATGTTCTCTGGTCCCATGTCTTAGTGGGGCTTGGTACAGTTTTGTGCCTGATGCGTGCGTTAGGGTGTTCTCTTATACTTTCTGGAATGCCTTTCCACTGCAAGGGCCAAACCCTCCTGGTTCCCTTCAGAGTCTTTTTGGCCTGATGATGACTCTTGAGTGATACCCTGCGATGCACGCCCCAAATGGATTCTACTTTCTTTAAAACTAGGAACTCTGAAGATTAAAAAATAGATTGTCACTACTAATCTGACACCTAACTTCAGAAGCTTCACGTCTAATGTGAACTTCTCCAGAAAAACTGTGCTATGGACATTTTTCCTTTGGGGAATTAACATCCAGATTCTGGTAACTATTAAAAGACAGATCTGGTTAATTTAAATTGAGCGTTGTATTTTTTTCCTTAAACAGCTAAAGCTCACCTTTCAACTTTCTTAGCTGAGGATATGGTGAGCTACCAGGGAGATAAAAGTATACAAGCCTGTCTGTGAGACTGCCCTCACTGCCAGCGCCTCCCCCCCCCCCACGATGGCTGCGATAAAGCGCCTTGAAGGATAAGCCCAGGGCAGCCCCTTCTTTCCTTAGGAAATAGGATTCAGCAGTCACAGGAACTATTTGTATGGTTTTTATGACTAAATTTTTGTTCTAAGTAAAACATCCCTTTACTTAAAGGAGAGAATGGGTTTTTTTTACGATCAGCTCATTGCTTCCCTGTTCTTTCTCAAACCCACGTATTTCATGCACTCGCTCCAGCCAGACAGGCTCCCAGGAGCTTCCCTGGACCAGGAGAGCCAACGGGGAAGTGTGTGCGGGTGGGTGGGCAGCCCGTGAGGCAGTGGCCTGGCTGTGGGGGACAGAGTGCCCCAGTACTGAGTAGCTGTCGAGATGCCTCATTGTAAGGAGCCCTCTGGGGACTTTTTCTATGTGGGTAGCTTTACTAGGGCGATTTTCTAGGTGAGTGACTTCTGAACTGGCGTTCTTCTCTGTAGACAGGAGACCTGTGCCTCAGGTTAAACGATGAGCAAGGCTGTACCCCCAGTCACAGGTCCTGCTGCTGCCTGTGCCCGTGGGATTGAGATGCCAGTGCGACAGGGAGAGGCCTGGGCCAGGCTCTGCGAGCGGGAAGAGTGGAGAGGGTCGCCCTGCTGAGTCACTGACAGCTGTGGTGCTGGGCTTACTACAGAAAGGCGAGGGCCGGCGCAAGGCGGGTGCTTAGGAGGCCACCTGCAGCCCAGGCAGCCTGCTGTGCACTGGCCACCACCTCCCGCTCAGGAATCCTGTCTGTCACACCTCGCCAGCTGGCTGTCAGCCTGGCTGCCCGGACTCCTCCGGAACCACCCTTCCCAGGCCCAGCTCGACCCGTCACTGCTGTGCTCAGACGATGACGACCCAGATGGCCTGCGGCTGTCAGGACGGCAGCGGGACTGCAGACAGGTTCTCAGCTGCACTTTTTCTATGGTGAATGTGATACTTCTGTAACCACAGAAACAAACTAAGATTGTGTTCTTGCTGGGGGAGGGGTTCCCAGAGTTAGCATGGCCTGGTGTCCCTGCTCTGCCTGACTGCTGCTGCGTGGCCCACCCACCTCACCCATCCCCAGCCCCTCCCTCAGGAGGAGACAGGCTGCGTCCTGCCGCCTCCCTGGGTCCCTGCTCTTCTGTTCCTGTGTTGTCTGTTCCCTGGGCACAGGGCCAGTGGGTCTCACGCACAGGCACATGTGCTGCTGGATGCTACTGAATGTTTGAGACCACTTCACTCAGTCGACAGTCTGTAGCCACAGAACGCGGTGAATGTTTAGGCTTAATTACTAACAGATGCCAGTGGGACACTGTTGGTTGCCTTACTTTAATGCTGATCTAGCAGCCCCGACAGGAAGCTTTAACATAAAGCCTTTAACATAAAGCACAGGTGCATCTTGTCGTGAGCAGGTTCATGGCTGTGCTGCCTCCTCAGCCCACTGGTTTTTGGTCTTTTGTCCTTTGATCCAGCAGTTCCCACGTGGACGTTGTACTGTTTCTGTCCTGGAGAAGAAAAGTGAGGTCCAACTCTGAGCAGACACCACGTCACGTGGCACAGGGGGCTGACGAGCGTGACCAGGTTCAGGATGCCTGTTCCCTCACCGGCCTGTCCTAAAAAGCTGGCCGGGCGCTTAGAAAGGGCCCCACTGCCTCCAGCAGAAGGCCAGGAGCCGTGCAGCACCTGTAGGAGGTGGCGGGGGCTGAGCAGGACCCACGTGCCCGTGCTCAGCGTCCCCTCCAGCCAACTTGGCCCCTCCGTCACGGCCCTCCCACCTCATTTATCACAGGGATGGGTTTCTCAGAAAGAAGCATGGGCCAGGTACGGTGGCTCACACCTGTCATCCCAGCACTTTGGGAGGCTGAGGCAGGAGGATCACCTGAGGTCAGGAGTTTGAGAACAGCCTGACCAACATGGAGAAAACCCCATCTCTCTAAAAAAAATTAGCCGGGCATGGTAGCGCATGCCTGTAATCCCAGCTACTCGGGAGGCTGAGGCAGGACAATCGCTTGAACCTGGGAGGCAGAGATTGCAGTGAGCCGAGTTCGTGCCATTGCACTCCAGCCTGAGTGACAAGAGTAAAACTCTGTCTCAAAAAAAAGAAAAACAAGCATGGTCACGGGGGATGTCTGGGCCTCTGATGGCTCCATGTCTGTGTGACACCTGTTGATCTACCTAGCTCCTGGGGTGATGTCCCTGACCTGGGTGCAGCACTCACCTTGATGCTGATGCCATGGGCAGTCAGGTCCTGGCGCAGGGTGTCACATGCCTCCAGCAGGGGCTGCCTCTCTAGGAGCTGCTGCCGTCGGGCCTCCCCCGTGGCCTTGGCCAGCGCAAACTGCCGGACCTTCTGCCGGAACCGCACCAGCTCCTCCACCACACCACGCAAGGTGACCTCGCTGCCGTCTCCTGAAACACACTGAAGCCGGCAGGGCACGGTTACATCCCCTGGAGACCGTGGACACCCCAGGTGGTTGGGCTCTGGGCTGAGACCCACCCAGCCCTGGGCTTCCCTGATTGCCTACAGCTGGGCCTCTTTCTGGGACTGGCAGGGCTGGGTACAGCCTGCAAGTGCTGGGCTCTGGGCAAGTCTCCACTCTCAACTCTGAGTATCTGTCACCCAAGCAAGGCTGACTGATGCTCACTTGGAAGTTAGAAGGATGGGCTGGGGGCTGCACACCACCCTGCCCTGAACACAAGCGCTCCCTGGGTTCCAGACCCCACACAAGTGTGGCCGCGGTATCAGGAGCAACCTGAGGATGAGGCTGGGGGCAGCGGCTGAGCGCTTGCAGATGTGTTTCGGCAAATGATCTGAGAGTCACAGCCTCAGGTGCTGAGGACAGGATTGGGGCGGAAGGCCTGTGTGCTGTCCTCCCACTGAGAAGGGATCCTGGGGCAGTATGGAAGGGGCAGCTGTACCTGTTTGTTAAATTCATGTGTGTAAAATAAGAAACGGACAACCTTGTACTTTGGTGTCAAACTACTTAAGTGCATACACCCCTCAGTTAGTGCTTCCATGATAAAAGACGATTTTTGTTATTACAAAAATATGAGCCCAGAGTGGGCCCAGACGTTAGTCCTTGTGGCCGGAGGAAGGTGAATGAGGTATCTTTGACAAGGACTAGGCAGAGCTTGGCCAGATCGCACTTTTCTTACTCAATACAGACTCTGGAAAGCCACCCTAAAAATGAACATGTACATTGCAAAGACTTGGTCGTCTCACACCAGTAGACTCTTATGTGATTGGCAACAGACGCTGGACTGCCAGAAAGAGAAACCAAGTCTACCAGGTGATCAGCAGGTATGTAAATGAGCCGAACTTGGAAAAGACACTATTGTTCTCTGTTGAGAGCCAGCGAGACGTGTCCAGCCCGGAGCCAGGCCTCCAGCACACCTGCTCGGGCCCCAGTCCCAAGCAGCGGGACCCTGGGGTGCTGGGCAGCTGGTCTAGAGTGGCAGCCTCCGTCCAGGCAGCAGCCGCCAAGCCACACCCCAACAGAGCCAGAGCGCCTTGTGCTGAGCATTCTCCAAGGGCGTCCAGAGAATGACAGGGACGGTCAGGGATACAGCACCAGTTCCAAGGGGCCTCCTCAGCCATATACTCATAAAAAGCGATTGGGGGGGGACTTGAAGAATAAGGCAGGAAACCTCAAATCCGTACTGATGCAGTAATCAAGTTCCAGGTGAGCCTGGTAAGGAAGGGGGTATTTTCATAGGCTCCAAGTCTCTCTGCAAAAATGCTCCAGTTACAAGGGAAGAGGAGGAATGTGGAGAAGCCTGGCAATGTCCACTTCACTGCGCAGCCAGGGTGAGCCTCGCTGGGAAGGTGCAGGTGCAACTCGTACCTGTCGGGGGGCTTGTCCTGTCCGTAGGAAGCACGCGACAGGCAAGGGGGCTCAGGCCGCCAACTTGCCCTCAAATGGGTCAGGAAGAAATGTGACCGGTGTGCCTGTGACTTCTGCACATTCTGAGAGTCTTTCAGCATAAGCGTGTGTGCAGAGCTGGCGACACCGTTACTGAGACGGACTTCATCTCTGGTTCTGCGCACGAGAGTTTATAAGGATTGGCTCTGAGTGTGTTTATCTTTCCAGGAAAATAACATGTTTTTAAACAGGTAAATAAATTAGTGTGGCATCATAATGATCTATTCCAAGTTAAAAGGGTAAAGGTTATTGTCCCTTTACCCTTTTAGGACAAAAATGGAGAAAATTCCAGAATGAAGCATTTAAAATAATACGACCTACCTGTTGATTGCCCAGAGAAATTCCAACAGTTTCAAAAAACTGTTCAAAGTAAGAGATGATGGCACCAAACACAGCAGGACTTCTCGGCACTCCAGGTTCCTGTAAGAGATCATGCAGCGGAATCTCCTTAAAAGCAGTCTTGATGGCAGTGGGCAAATGGAATTCAATGTCAAAAGATAAAGGCTTCAGCAGGTCACCAGTCTGGCCTTTCTCCTGGCTTCTATGGAGGGAGGACACAGCTCTGGCATCGGCTACCTCACTGCAGACCATACAACTATAGGTGCATGAGGAATCTCTTGTGCCTCAGTTTACCCACCAGTCATGTGGGTGGTGACTAGCCCACCAGGCTTTGCAGGTAAAGCATGACCGTGGAGTATAGCAGGCGGCGCATGGTAGGTGGAGGCTGAGTGGGCACTGGGCTGGGTTTCTCAGAAAACAAGGAAATCCTGGCATGTGGCTCACGTCAGTCACCAAGCACAGAGACCCCCACTAGCCTTAGTTTGCAGGTGCCCCAAAATTGCAAAGGTTGGGAAGGAAAAGCGCAGGCGCCAGCCTCTTTACTTGTCCCCACCCCTTGGCACAAGAGGCCCCTATTGCCCTAGACCTGGGCCAGCCTGGTAGTGCCGGCAGTGTGCGGGCGGACAGCTGAGGAGGAGGAGCTCCCATGCAGGAGCAGCCTGGCCGGGACCTGCCCCAGCCTGGCCTGGCTGCCTTCAGTGTGGGGCAGCCTGTTCCTGCACCCAGCTGTGACTCAAATGCCCGCTCCCCTCAGAGGTGAGCCCTACACGTCTGCAGTATTTGGACCAAAGGCACCTGGCACAGGCACATGGCACCCTGCCCCACCTGCTGATGCTCTGAAACCCAACACTGCACGCAGCCAGGGATGGAGACCTCCACAGAGATGCTCAGCTAGCAGAGGACGTGGCCAGAACTCACAGGTGTTTCCAGAGATGGGAGAGGCACGAATGGCCTCAGCTTCCCAGGTCATGAAAGGTCACAGGGCTCCTGACGCTGCGCCTCCCAGAGCCTGGCAGGGGAAACCCTGAGAAGTGCAGGAACCAAAGCCTGCCGCCGCCTCCACGGTCTTTGTCCCACCCCCCCAAACGCTTTCAGTGACTCTCAGGTCCAGGCTGAGACCCCGGGGTGCTTGGTGTGGTCGTCACACTGGGGTGCAGACTGCATAACAGTGTATCGGGGTAAATGGGTCTTTCCTTTAAAAGTTCCCCACAAAAGCTCTCTGGGAAAGTGCCATTGACGCAGTGGGGACATGAAATGTGTCCCCTGAGGATCAGGCACACATAATTTCTTAGCTTCAGGGGCTCCCAAGAGCTTGTTCTCCAGGTGGCCCTGAGGCCTGGGAGGGTCAAGCCCCGAGCTGGGTGCCATCCTGTGTCAGCGGCAGACTCGGGTTCCACGAGTTCCTCCACAGAAGCTGCGGGAGGCGAAATCAGCAGAGAGCCCGCCCAGCCGACATGAGAAAAACCCACCAGAGGACCCGACCCATGCCCCTGGCAGCGGGACCGCGAGGCCACCTGCTCGTTGAGCTACCTTCGAGGTCGCCCTGAGCTGTCCGTTCCCGTGGCGCGCAAGGCCCAGGATGGCATCAACTACCCTGGGTGTGTCAAAGTCATCTGCCAGGGCCTCCTTCACGGCCCTCTTGGTGCTGGCGAGCCTGAGGGAAGAGGAGAGGAACAGTCGCGGCAGAGGGAGCCCCACCCTCCCCAGGAGGCCCCCATGCCAGTCCTTCCCCAGGCAGACACACTGGGGGCTCTTAATTTGGGGACTCTGTCTAGGTCATATTCCCAGACTTGTGAGTTCCTGAGTAGCAGAAACTTAATTACGTAACATCAACTGCAAACTGTCGTGTCACCCCAGGGAAAAGGCCCAGAGCAGAGGTCACCTGGGACACTTGTATTTTAACACACAAGATACACGTGGGCATTACCATGATGGTTTTAAAAATCAATAGACATTGAGGGGAGTGGCAGGGAAGACTCGGTGGGGGACAGACAGCACGGCCGACCACTCACAAAGAGAGGTTGGGGAGGCCCGGCCCAGGGCTCCTGGATCTCAGCCTCCCGTGGCCACTGGCAGCCTGCCCTGCCAAAGCGGCAGGGGTGGGTTGTCACCAAGACCATCTGGAAGACTCTGCACACCAGGATGAATGTGCAGCACTGCCCAGGACACCCGTGGGTGGGGTGTGGAGGCGATGCTGTGGGCCCAGGCCTGTGTGTTTCACAGCTTTTGGCTCCTCACGGTCAGGACCGGGAGGGATGAGCAGCTCTGCTCCTCGCACAGGGAATCCAAGCCCAAAGCCACTCTGAGCAGGGGGCTCAGAGCCCGAGGGCCCCAGGCACACTTCCTGCCCAGTACCCTGTCTCCCTGGGACGTCTCGGGAGCCCCTGACCCTGTACCTCCTGCCCAGCAACCAGTCTCCTGGGGCCTCTCTGCAAAGTCCCTGACCCTAAACCTCCTGTCCAGCGCCCTGTCTCCTGGGGGCCGCTCTTCCCCTTCAGGAGCCCACCAGCAGCGCCTAGCAGGCCGCAGGAGGGGCTCCACGCCGGGTGCTGGGCGGGTCTCTTACCTCTCCCACAGCATCACTTCTCTGACAGAGCCGCAGGCCATCTGCCCCTTCATGTAGGCACGTGCGTCCTCCAGGAAAGAGCCCAGCGCCAGGAGCTGCTGCTGGGCTTGGAGCATGGCGCTGTCGCTGTAGTCGATGGCTGAGGAGGAAGAGATGGTCCCTGAGGCGGTGCCCACCATGCTGTGCCCCTGCCCTCGTCCAGCAGAATCACAGTGTTCTCTGAGGGCACTGCCACCCAGGGACCACACGGAGAGCGGGACATGCGGCCCTCACTGCCCTCCAGTGACCGCGAGTCCCTAGGCCCACTGGACACAGACCACAGGGTCTGTCCCAGCTCAGTGTCACCTGCCCTAGGAGAACAAGGTGGCGGTAGAGAAATGCTCCCAGGGCTTCCAGCTGAGAGGCGCATTTCCACTGACGGATGGATGGAGGTGCGGATCAACAGCTGGCTCTGGATGGAGGGAGCCCCACCCTGGGGTCAGAGGCACCTCTAGGGAAGGCGCCCCCCGGAAGGTGCCTGTGTGTGATGGGACGGCCCATAGCGGGAGGGAGGAGCAGTCCCCAGACCCAGCTTTAGAGTCTGTGGGTGTTGCTTAGGCCACCTGGGTGAGGGGCCAGCGTTTCTGTTTACATCTGTTCATTTCTGGTGGTTTCTAGTCTACTGCATTCTGATGAGTGAGACACAACAGGAATGAATCGCTTCACAGTGATCACACATCCTTGCGTATCAGCAGAGCTAGCCACACATTTCTAAAACCTTCTTCTCGTTTCTGTGCCTACTCTGCTTCCCAGACTGTCTAAGGCCACAGTCCGTGCTTTTGAGGAGCGCTGCTTCAAAAAGCTCTTTGAAAACCACAGGAATAAAAAGAGCCTATCTGGACACATATGCCGAAAATTACATCCTAACATGCCTACAAGTCCTGATTTCAAAACGAGAATTCCAAAGTCAGACACGGCTTCAAGCGGGAAGCAACACAGTGAAAATCTCCCCCAGGGTTGTCTAATATCTTACTTAACATTTTTCCTTTTTTTCCAAATTCACTTTCAGTTTTCGCTTTGAATAGCTTGACAGAAGAGAAAAAGCCAGAAACCCACAAAGCGATCTGACAGCATTTAAAATGCATGGGAGGCTGTTAGAATAAGATTACCATTAATGACACAGCACGATGAGGCATCCAGATGGGCAGGGGCAGACAGATGTCCAGCACGGAGACGCCCTCTGCCTCAAAGTCAAGGACAGCTGCACTCCTCCAACAAGGATTGCTCTACAGACGGGAGACGCCTCTCCAAAGTGTCAGCATAGCACAGACGGCACGGGAATGCCACCACTGTCACCCTCCGTCTTCCCAAAGGTGAAGAAGGCATGTCTGGGAGGATCCTGAACTCCCACACCACTCGCGGCGGGAAGCTCAGACAGCAAGCGACGGCCCAGCGCCTCATGGCCACCTCTGACCTCGAGGGGGCGTCGTGCCCACCGTGGGGATCCACGTCCCGCTAACCTTGTGTTCCTAGAAATCCCTCACCGGCAGATTGGTGCCCCCTGAATCCCACCCGAAATTCCCACTGGGAATGTGTTCCTGAAAGAGCTGCCCAGGCTTGAGAAAGCTGCTTTTCAGACCAAACTTCATATTCAAAGCTCGAAAGGAACTGCACACGATTAGGACAGTCATGCAAGGCGCTGCCCCTAATCCTGCCACAATCTGCGAGAAGAAGGGGAGCAGGGGCCTCTGAGGGCAAAGAGCCCCTGGGAAGGGATCCACGGGGAACAGCTTTGAAAGGACCACAGCCCCCAGCCACAAGGGGAACAAGCACGAGCCGGGGAGAAAGGTCTGCACTTGCACATGGGATTCATCCCCACCGCCTCTGCCCGTTTCCAGCAACACGGAGCCAGGCAGAAACGGTTTCTCCAGCCCATTCGCCTCCCGACTCTTCCTCTCACGGCATGGTTGGTCTGTGTTCACTGTGTATAAGCGCACACCACACACAAATGCTGCACAAGGCCAGGTGAGCACGAGGCTGGTGACACTTCCGTCTCAGGCTTGCTTGCCTGTGAGCACAGGTCCCCTAGGCTGATGCACTGCAGTTCCACCCAGGGGACAGGTTCAGCCCACATCTCAGAAACCCTGAACTTGCAGTAGAAAGCCAACATGGTGTCGAAGCCAGGATAAAGACATGGCCCAAGGTAGCCTTTCGGTGGTCAAACGTGCAGGTGTCTGTGTGCCCCACTCAAGCTGACAAGAGCCGCAGGCCGGGGAGCCTGTGCCAGGCCGTGGCCCAGGTGAGACTCTGCAGGCACAGCCCAGGGGAGGGAGACGGATGGGACCAGCCCAGGGGCTCACCCAAACCCACCAAAGCTTTGTGTGTGACATAAAGATAAAATCTATCTGGCCAGACAGACTCACCCCGTGGGGGAAGGAGAATCCACTGTTTTGGCTGCATGTCCCCACCCCCGTCGTCTTCATTAAAAAGGTGAAATCATCAATTGAGAGCAAGAGTGCTATGTAGGAGGACAAGAAGCGGGAGAGCAAGGTGGCGTGGCAACAGCAGCAGCCCAGGGACACGCCAGTGTCAACGGAGCAGAGGGGACACCAGAGGCCAGAAGGGCAGCAACCCTCGCTCACCAGCAAGGAACTGTCACCATCTCCAGAGGACACCGGCCCTGCTCCTGCAGCACTAGCCATACAGTGGGACCTTACTGCCAGTTAGGTGGTCAAGCCAGGCAGGCAGTGCCACTGTCCCCAGCCCTCACCCGTCACCAGGGATCCAGCTCTGGATAACAACTTTTTTTTTTTTTTTTGAGACAAGATCTTGCTCTGTCACCCAGGCTGGAGTGCAGTGGTGCTTTCTCGGCTCACTGTAACCTCCACCTCCTGAGTTCAAGTGATTCTCCTGCCTCAGCCTCCCAAGTAGCTGAGATTATAGATGCCTGCCACCAAGCCAATTTTTTGTATTTTTTTCAGATGGAGTCTTGCTCAGCTGCCCAGACTAGAGTGCAGTGGCATGATCATGGCTCACTGCAGCTCTGCCTCCCAGGCTCAAGCAATTCTCTTGCCTCACCCTCCTGAATAGCTGGAATTATAGGCACACATCGCCATGCCTGGCTAATTTTTGTATTTTTAGTAGAGATGGGGTTTTACCATGTTGGCCAAACTGGTCTCGAACTCCTGACGTCAAGTGATCCACCTGCCTCAGCCTCCCAAAGTGTTGAGATTAGAGGCACGAGCCATCGCACCAGGCCTTTTGTATTTTTTGTAGAGACGAGATCTTGCTATGTTGCCCAGGCGGGTCTCAAACTCCTGAACTCAAAACATCTGCCAGCCTTGGCCTCCCAAAGTGCTGGGATCATACACGTGAGCCACCATGCCAGGCCAGTGCTAGACAACTCCCGGACAAAAGCCTAGCCTGGGGCAGCAACAAAATCGTGCAGCATGGGAGGGACCGTCATCACCCATCCAGGAGACCTGGCTCTGCTACACACTGTTCAGGGAAGCGCTGTCCCTGGGCGGGACAGGCAGGGTCACGTTTGAGGGCTCCCATGTTCAGGGGCCGTGCCAGGCTGGCCCCTTCCAATTTCCCAGTTCACAGAGCAGGAAGCCGACGTGCTGCGGGTTCACGACTTGTCCAGACCCACAGAGAAGGAGTGGAGAGGACTCGAGCTTGACGAGGAAGCCCACATCCACTACGGGCTGAGCCTGGACCAGCGCTGGGATCCCTCGTCCTCTGGGGTCACTCTCAACCTGAACCTCCAGGCCCCAGCAGCTGCACTCACAAGGTTCTGCCTATTCCCTGGCCTGCATTTTGCCGTTGTCACTCCTGTCGGAATGACTGTCTCCGAGCTGGGGAGGAGGCCACTCCACGTGCGCCCGGCTCACCTGAGCGGTAGCTGCTCCGCAGGCAGAAGAACCGGAAGACGTCAGGGGAAAAGGTCTTCAGAAAGTCCTGGTAAAGCAAGAGACAGGCAGTCACGAGGCTTTGCTTTTACGCTTTGCACTGTTCAGAGAATATGTTATTTACTACAATTACATGAGTTATCTCTACTTATCAAGAAATCAGGAATCTTGATGAAAATGAGTCCTCCAAACATAATTACCACCTGTTTCCTGGTGATTTCCTTCCTCACTGAACTTTCCATGTTCGATCTCAGTATTTGTGGAAAGAGCAAGAGGAGAAAGCCGGTTTGCCTGAAATTCCCCACCTGCGCAGGCTCCGGGAGGAGTGTCCTGTGCTCAGCCTGGGCTCTCTTTCTACACGACAGGGACGTGGGACAGACAGCATGGAGGGATGCTGTGCTCAGGAAGAGACCAGGGAGGCGGCGGGAGGCACACCAGCCCTGGCTGCCTGCAGGCCCCCAGGAGAAGCTTGCGGTTAACCTCAGACCCAGCTGACCTCCGGCTCAGTCCAGCCAAGGGGCGACTGCCTCACTCATCCTATTTGGTGGCACAGTTCTCATAAACACTGAGTTTAAAGCACGTGCTAAGTCTGTCTCTTGAAGACTAAACCGCCCTGCCTCTGATTAAACATAAGTAAAACTCAGAACCCAACCAGTATGGTCCTGTAGATCATTTAGAAAACGTCTGTCCAGAAAGAAGTGGAGCTTTCTGCATGAGGAGGCTTAGGAGAGGTCATTAGAGGCACCGCAAAAGCAGCACGGCACTCGGCAAAGCCTCCTGTGGGGCGCTCAGGGCTCAGCTCTGGCAGCTACTTTCAAGAGATGAGATGAGACTCAGGGCGGGGGAGAGAAGGAAGAGGGCTCTGCCCAGCTTGGGCTTCCAGCGTGGCCCCAAGAAAGCAAGCTGAGCTCCGGCTGCATCCCCCGGCGAGGGACGCACTCCAATGGGAGCCCGAGTGGCTCCCTGCCTGGATCAGCAGCACATGCTGCCAGCTCTGACCGAAGCCCCCTTTCCTGCCACCACCTCAGAAGACAGAACTGGCTCACCCCTTGCCTGTCCTCTGTGCAGGAAGCTGTCGCCCGCCTTGCTGGAGTGAGGACTGCGTTTCCGTCTCCCTCGGGTAAACCTGATCCCCTCATCTCTAGGCTGATGGGCAGCAACACAAGTCCACAGCACAGGGGCTGACGCCAGCCTGCAGTCTGCACCCGCTCGCCAGAGCTTGGACACCCGCGTCCTCCGCAGCGTGGTCGTGGGAGCACAGAGCTGCCGGGGAGTGAGCTGGAGACGGCGGAGTCCAGCTCAAAATACTGTATCTCAACACATGGTATTTTATAAGGCATAAAAGACCGGCCTAAGGCCATGCTGCTCAACAACCGCACTGAGAGCAAAACAAATGCAACTGAAGAGCGTCTTGGGGTCGAAGGGGCTGTCCCTGCGGCAGGCTGCAGCGGCCTCGCCCACCCACCCGGTAGGAAGGAGGGGACTGCTGAGCTGGAAGGAGGAGGACACTGCTCCACCTGCCTCCGGGGCTCATTCCCTTCAGAGCACTGAGCGGGTCTGGTCTGCTTTCCACCAGGAAGGAGGTCAGCCCCCACCTCACAGCCCAAGCCCTGTCTGCCTGCACCCGAGGCAGTGAGAGGCATTCTCATGTGGGGTGGCATAATGAGAAAGCTGCTGGGCCAATCCCCTAACACAGGGGTGCTCAACCTGGGGTCCACAGACCTCCTAGGGGCCCACAGAGAGAAGGTGGGCGGGCGGGGAGATCTGTGAACTGGGATGGTTAAACAGTTATGTGTTTATTTCTGCTGGCCTTGCACTAAAATGGGCATTTCCTTCGATAGTCAGTGCAGGCAGCAAACACATCGGGAAGCACAGAGCCTGGCACGGTGGCCACAGCCGTCACAGGTGACCCCTCAGGGATGACATCACACGCCACAAATCACGAAGCACAGTGCCTGGCGCGGTGGCCACAGCCGTCA